GAAGGGAGGGAGGGAAAGGAAGAGAAGGAAGGAGGGAGGAAAGGAAGGAAGGAGGGAGGGAAGGAAGGAGGGAAGGGAGGGAAGGAAGGAGGGAAGGGAGGGAGGGAAAGGAAGAGAAGGAAGGAAGAAGGAAAGGAAAAGGGAAGGAGGGAGGAAAGGAAAAGAAAGGAAAGAAGTAAAGGAAAAAGGAAGGAGGGAGGGAAAGGAAAAGAAAGGGGAAAGAAAGGGAAGGAAAAGGAAGGGAAGGGAAGGGAAGGGAAGGAAAGAGGTGGTTTATCTATCACCCAAAAGGAATAACCCCCACAAAAGACGCACTTGCAATAGTTCAGTAAGCAGTAGGCCAGAAGTTTCGGCTCCTTCCAGTTGGTGGCCGCCATGTTCTCCTTCCGGTGCCGCTCTTGGAAAGTGTCGCTGACCCAAACACGCCTCAGTTGGCTCACCAAGGAATGCTGGTTTGCCAGCCAGCCTTCATCGTTCTTAACGATGATACTGATGATCTGTTGGAAGGAGAAAGAGAGAGAGAGAGAGAGAGAGAGAGGGAGAGGGAGAGAGAGAGAAACAAGAATGTGGAATTATAAATTGCCTTTTGGCGGGTGACCAGTTAATGTCCATTTAATGTTCGCTAAGAGGTTTGCAAAGTCAGCACGTTACAATTTGAGTCCTTGTTTTTACCAACCTCGGAAGGATGGAAGGATGAATCAACCTGGAGCCAATGAGGATCAAACTACAGGCAGTGGGCAGAGTTAGTTTGTAATACTGCATTCTAACCACTGCAAGACCACAGCTAGCTTCCTTCCTTCCTTCCTTCCTTCCTTCCTTCCTTCCTTCCTTCGTAATAGCAGACTTGTATATTGCTTCACTGTGCTTTACAGCCCTCTCTAAACAGTTTAAAGAATCAGCCACCCAACAATCTGGGTCTTCATTTTATCAACCTCGGGATCGAACTCCCGGCAGTGGGCAGAATCAGCTTGAAATTCTGCATTCTAACCACTGTGCCACCCGTCCTTCCTTCCTTCCCTCCCTCCCTTCCTTCCTAAGCAACAGCAGACTTATATACCGCTTCACAATGCTTTCCAGCCCTCTCTAAGCAGTTTAGAGTCATCCTCTTGCCCCCAACAATCTGGCTCCTCGTTTTACCGCCCTCGGAAGGATGGAAGGCTGAGTCAACCTGGAGCTGGTCAGGATCGAACTGCTGGCAGTGGGCAGAATCCACCTGCAGGACTGCATTCTCACCCCTGCACCATCAGGGCTCTCTTAAACCCCCACCTGGGTACCTTTTATTTAGCATCACGTGTTAAAAAAGGAAGGGCCGTACCTTAATGGCTTGAAACTGGAGATCGAGCCGCATGGTGCTAGTGCTGGGAGATCCAGGCCGAACCGCCGTCTGGGTCCCGCCAGGTAAGAGTAAGGTGATGAAACGGTTGGGATTCGCAGCCAGGACATCCCGCAAAGGCTTGGCGTCTTTGTGCTTTAAAAAACTCTGGGGTTGGTTGGTTGGTTGAAGGGGGTGGGGGGAGAAAAAAGACAAAGTGCTTGTGATGACCCAAAGGGGCGTGCCACAAAAGCGACCAAGTCCAAAAAGTAGGTAAAGTCCCTTTAATTCCTCCGACTTGGCCCCCAATGTCCAGTTATCATTGGCTGGAGAAAAAACACTCCCAAGAACAGTCTTTAAAGGGAAGAAATTCAGCCCGAACCCAAAATACATCTAGATTATAAATAAAAACCAACACAAACCACACTGCAGCAATGAATGAGACAGGGCAGGATAAGGGATTGAAGACATCAGAAGATAACGAAACACACACAATTGGGAGGACGCCAGAACCCAGATAGGACTTGACAAACAAAGATAATGCAGCTTTGCTTCCAGCCCAGTGCCGTGCGCAAACACCCCTTTTATTCTGTTTTTCCAGCTGCAGCTAATGAAGGGAATCAGGGCCTTTTTCTCCCCCGTAACCCATGTTGCTCCCTTCTCCGTTCTTCCCTGCATGCCCTAGGATGAAGAAGGGGTAGACCTGGGTCTTCCTCTGAATGCCCAGACGGACTGTGCCCTTTCCCAGTTTCCTCCACAGCCACCGGAGCCACACTCCCACTCCCTGTCAGCGGCTCAATCTCCCCCTCAGAATCAGACTCCAACATGACAGTGCCTGGTGAGGATAGCCAACTCTAATGTTTACAAAAAAAGGCCCAAGGCCAAGCGTGCTAAACTGCAGCTTAACAGGGTCCACGGTGAGCCCGGCCTTACCATGAACATCCTGCTCCACTGTGGATCGTTCAAGGTCGCTTCCATCATGAAGAGCTCAACGGTCTGAGATGGGTGGCGGGTCAGAAACTTGATCAGGGGTTCTCGGAAGGGGCTGCCAGCCTGCACAGCAGGTTAAAAAGGAAAGAGGTGAAACACGTTGAGCAGGCAGAGAGCATGACCGGCTGGCTTTTTAAGAGGATGGAGAGAAGGGAGGGAGGGAGGGAGGGAGGGAGGGAAGGAAGGAAGGAAGGAAGGAAGGAAGGAAGGAAGGAAGGAAGGAAGGAAGGTAGAGAGAAGGGAGGGAGGGAGGGAAAACAAAAGGAGGATAGAGAGAAGGGGAAAAAGAGGATAGAAAGAAGAAAGGATGATAGAAGGGAGGGAGGGAAGGAAAGAAGGAAAGGGAGAAGAAAGGAGGATAGAAGGGAGGGAGGGAGGAAGAAAGGAGGATATAGGAGGGAGGAAGAAGAAAGGAGGTTAGAGAGAAGGGAAGAAAAGAGGATAGAAGAAAGGATAGAGAGAAGGGAGCGAGGGAAAGAGGATAGAAAGAAGAAAGGAGAGGGAGGGAGGAAGGAAAAAGAGGGAGAAGGGAAGGCAGGAAGGAAAAAGAGGGAGAAGGAAGGAAGGAAAGAAAAAGGAAAAGTTAGAAGAAGGGAAGAAGGAAGGAAAAAAAATAGAAGAAACGGCAGCTTGGAAAACTTTAAAGGAAAGAGGGGTCCTTTACCTCAATCAACATGGCCCGTTCAGTTTTCATCACCACTTCCAGCAAAGGTTTGACCAGGGTCTGTGGAGCAGCTGGGATCAGATGAAACAGGTTTATAATCGCTGAGCAAATCTTCATTTCCTGCAGACGAAACGGAAATATCAGCTAGCGGCTAGATCCACATTTATTACCCTAATCGAAGCTACCGCTCTCTTTTCTACGGGGGATGTTGGCTAGCAAGCCAGAGCAAGGAGTTAAACCATGGTTACTTACCCCAGGCCGTTTAAGGAGCTGCCCTGGTTTTTGGGGTGGGGTTAGGGGGGATTTTATCTAGATCATTGGGTTAGGGAAAACTTTTCTCGTTTGTTTTTAATGGAATGACAGCAGAAACGTGGGACATTACGAACTTCCGAAGTGGTGTGTTTCTCTTCTAAAAAGGGCAAAACGCGCTCCAGTGCTGAAAACGGGGACAGGATGAGACTGAAAAATCGTCTCCCTGGCTTTCCAGAGCTTTTTCTCCAGCACTGCAGCTCAGCTATTCGTGAGGACTAGCTGCTTTAAAATCCCAACACGTGCCATCTGGGCTGTGCCTCTTTTACAAGATGGCGATTTTCTACTAGTTTTTATTTTATTTTTTTACACTGGATTGCTAAAAAAAAAAAAAAGCCATTAAAAGGCCTGGAGCGGAAAGAGGGGTGGGGGGGAAATGTATTAAATCTAGAAAGGGGGCTGCATTTCCAGGATTTTGAGAGAGCTACCAAAACGGGGACCTCAACTATTTCTTTGCAGTTTGACACATGAGTAACTCAACACATTCTGTAACTCAAAACATTGAGAGAGATATAAATAAATACACACACACACACACACACACACACACCCCAAATCTCCTACTGGAAAAAAATAAAGAACATGCTTGAAACTCCTTCACAAGTGTTACATAAACAACTCCGTACAGACGAGAAAACAAAGGACAAATCACAGCACTGCACTCAGAGGCACAATGCATTCTGCCCTGATATACACAACAGAGACAACTAACAAACCACAGCAAAGATAACAACAAAACCAAAAGGAAGAAAAAGGAGGGAGGAGGGGGAGGGAGGGAGGAAAGGAGGAAGGAAGGAAGGAAGAAAGGAAGGAAGGAAGGAAGGAAGGAAGGAAGAAAGGAAGGGCAAGGAGGGAGGAAAGGGGGAAGGAAGGAAGGAAGGAAGGAAGGAAGGAAGGA